AGAGACAGAGAAACAGATAGAGAGAGATGGCGAGAGAGAGACAGAGACAGAGACAGAGACAGAGACAGAGACAGAGACAGATGCAAACAAACTATCAGGAAAAATTCCTTTTCAAAATCTGCAAACTTTTAAAGCTTAAAAACCAAAATAAAATAGCATGAGATATTTATTCCTATTACTAATCCTACCATACTAAATGAAAGTATGTTTCTCTAGTTGAATACCTTCTAAATACTTCCTTATATAAAGGTATACTTACTGACATACTAGGTAGATTTATTTTAAATGACAAACTGCTCATCTTAAAATACAAATATATTTCCATTACATATTTCATAATGGCTAGATTTTTTTTCCACAATTTATTTCCAGACTTTATTCAAAATGTTTTTTAAACATCTTTCTAACCTCCAAAAAGGTAAACATGTACAATAAAAATAAAAGCAATGAGGCCTGCCGAACAGCTCAGTGGATTAAAGTGCCTTGGCTGTATCAAGCCCCAGAGTGGGATAATATCGGTGAGGGGTCCCATCCCCAGGCATGCCTGTGCTGGCCCCACCCCCACCCCCGCCCCCAGGGCACACTGAGACCCCAAGTGAGACTAGAGGTGGTGGCATGTGCCTGTAATCCCAGCTCTTGGGAGGCTGTAAACAGAAGCATCGCTATGAGTCGGATCTAGTAGTGAGACCCTGAATATCCTGTAGACCCTTCCCTAGAATACATATATACATACATACATACATACATACATACATACATACATAAATAAATAAATGCTTCTTAGCAATAGTAAAAAGCCACAGGGGCTGAGGAGATAGCTCAGCAGTCTAAGTGCCTGCCTGGCAAGCACAAGGATCCAGGTTTGATCCTGGTACCACATGCTGTGCTGGCCACCAAAACTGGGAATGGTGGTACATGCCTGTAATCAGCCCTGGGGAGGCTGAGACAGGAGGATCACTAGGAGTTTAAACTGTGGCGAGACCTTGTACCAAACAAACAAGCAAGCAAGCAAATGAAAAAAGAGCCACATTGAACTATTCTGCTGGGTGCAGTAGCACAAGCCTGTAATCCCAGCACTCTGAGAGGCTGAGGCAGGTGGATGGTTGTGAGTTTCAGACCAGCCTAGGCTACAGAGTGCGGCCAGTCTAAACTGCATAGTAAGACCTTGTCTCATAAAGAATAGAAAAAAAGAACCTACCTTCAAAATACACCAAACTTCCAACATTATCATGATTATTGTAATAAACTTTAGAAGGCAATCTTAAATTTTAGCCTTACTAAAAGTTCCTTTACAACAACAAAAAAGCCTAAATATTGAAAAATTCAAATTCAAAATCTCTTTTGACTATAAGACATGCCACTTTTTTCTAACATGTTGGCTGTAATAACTGAATCACATCTGTTAATTCTATTCTACAAAAGCTGCAACAATGTTATTAAACTTTTAAAATGTGGAAGCTGGGGAGATGGCTCAGTAGAATAAGCACATCCTTGGCAAACTCAAGGGCCTGAGTTCAATCCCCAGCTCTGAAAAACAAAAAACAAAAAAACAAATTAAAATAAATAAATAAATAAATAAAATAAAATAAAATGTGCAAGCTGTAGATTCTAAGGAAAAAAAAAGATCACTCCAAGACAATGTTCACCAACATTACTATTAGGGTTCTTTCACAATTTGATATACTTAAATCAGATGACTGCAGAAATGTTTAGCAAAAACATAAAAAGATGAATTTGTTTCTGCCAAAAAGGTTTTAATTATATTGCTTTCTTTTTTTTTTTTTTCCGGAAACGGGGATTGAACTCAGATCCTTGTGCTTGCCAGGGAAGCGCTTATCCTATTGAACTATCTTCCCCAGCCCCTATATTGTGTTTTTGTTTTTTTTTTTTCAATTTTATTTATTTAGTTATGTGTGTGTGTGGCCAGCTCAGCCCACCAGGGGGCGGGGCTGGCTGGCATGTGGTGCTGGGGGATTGAACCGTGGTCCCTGTGTTTTGCTAAGCTTGTTCTAAGTAGGTGCTTTAGACCACTGAGCCATCTCACCAGCCCTATATTGTGTTCTTGAACAGTGATATAAATTGGCTGTATCAAGCCCCAGAGTGGGATAAAATTATTCAATCTGTACAGTGGGATTTTGTGTTTGTTTCTTTTTAACAAACCAGCATGCAAAAATTTAGGCAGTTATACAATAGTACTGCTTTCAGAGATAAGCTTTAGTAATTCTTTACTGATTTTTTTCTCATAGGTAGATTTTTTTTCCCATAGGTAGATTTTTCAACCAATCTACCTATGAAAAGGGGGCTGAACTATTTTATCTACAATGTCATATAGAATCCAACCCCACTACTATTTTAAAAAATCAGTTTTTAATAAAGCCAAGTAGAAAAATGGTCATCTAAGCATGAGTTCAACAAAGGAAGCTAAGTCAACTGACATCTCTGAGAAGGTTCAACTCAAGTTAATAACTGAGAGCACTTCGTATCCACAAGAATTTTACTAAGAAATTACTCAAAATGCCAACCTTGGATATTCTGAAAATAAACATTTATCTTGACATAACTGATTCTTTATTACTAAACAGTTAAAAGAGTAAGTGAAATTAAAGCAAGAATTTGCAATGACTCTGATGAGTAAAGGTTAGCACCTATAAACATTAGAAACATACTACTGAAATACAGACCTAGTTTCACTAAAAAGATGTATTTGAAAGGATACAATTAAAAATTGGCTAACCTGTGCTCGCTTCGGCAGCACATATACTAAAATTGGAACGATACAGAGAAGATTAGCATGGCCCCTGCGCAAGGATGACACGCAAATTCATGAAGAAAAATTGGCTAACCTTTCACTAAACATTCCTGAATCCAGCCATAAGAAAAGAGTAGACATGGACTTTAATAAGAAGTTTAAATTATATTGCATGTTAATTTAAAAAATGATGAAGACATGAAATCAATGGAACAAATGTGGACTCATACTAATGTTCTCATTCCAGGAATACTGTTTTCTGTGTTTAATTAAAATAAAAGAGTTTGCCTTAACACCAATATTATCTTAAAATTCAAATTAACATCTGTGCTTGCTTCAGCAGCACATATATAAAATTTTAACACCTTATTCTAGTTTCGCAAAGTGTAGAAGTACACATCTGTGGGAAAAACTGAGAGAATGGATTTCACTACTCAACTTTTAAACTGAAAAGAATACCCCAGAAAAAATAAAGCATGGAAGAGAAAATGAATGGTAAAATTTTATGTATAGTCCAAACCCTTCATTTTATAGAGGAGAAGCTACAGTCAAAAAGTCAGGTGATTTGTCCAACCTTAAGATTTTTAGTTTGGGTACTTCAACTGCCTGGCTAGACAACCTTCTAAAAGTTTTCCGACCCCGTAAAGTTAATTTTTTCCAGTTACAGATTTTTAATGCTTCCATTAAAGCATTGCTTTATCTTCCTATCATCTTTACAAAATATTTAAAGCATTAATTTACATCATTTCATGTGTCTTTACACATTACTTTTGTCATTTGACAATGCATAATTGAGACAAAGTTCTGTGATATTTCTAATTAAAAAGTTTGATTTAAAAGTGCCACCAACTTTTTAAAGTGTCACATTAAGCTGGTGTGGGGGAAAATAGCCATATACATGGGATTTTTATGTAGCTATTTACTCTATTCCATGAAAAACATACTCACCATAGCAGCCCCTGCATCACACGGTACATGTGTACACGATACAGAGCAAGCACCTACTTAAAGAAACACACTCACCAACATATACTGTAAACTTTTGCAAGTATTACAAGGGGAAAACTTGTTTTACTGTTAAGCAGACTTCTTGCCAATTTTTTCCAAAAAACATTTTTTGGACTGACAATGTGCTTTTGTTACATTTTCAATGAAGAGGAAATACAACAGGTTGGCTGAATTTGACCTGTATTGACAATAGTCTTACTTTAGAAAACTATGCCCAAGAGCTCATGATTTCTCCTGTCCAAATTCTCTTTTCCAAGTAAACTTTAGTTGATTGTGCATTACAAAGCTAAATTTCCTATTATCAGAATTCTCCAACTATGTTCTCTCTCGACATAGCTGTGCAATTTATCCTGAAGAATTTTGCCATGATGCATACCACCTATGCCAAATAAACAGATGCTTAAGTTATTAAAGTGAGACTACTGTCAAAATAAGCCAACACAGTGATCAACCATAATATAATTTATGTACTGAATATTAACAATTTTTTTTTTTTTGGTCAGCTCAGCCCACCTAGAGGGCAGGGCAGGCACACACATGGTGCCAGGGATTGAACCTCGGTCCCCTGCACCTGCCTAAGCTTGCTTAAACAGGCGCTTTAGACCTCTGAGCTATATTGCCGACCCCTTTACAAATTCTTGAATAAAAAAAAGGTAATAGGTGCAAAAGACAGCTGAAGTAGGCTTGTCAGTTTTCTTTCTTCTTGATAACGGTGGCTAAGAGAATGAAGCCATAGTGATTGCTTATATTTTTCATATGCAGCAATAGTATTCAAGGACCCCCAGAGGAAATACCTAGTTTTAAAAGGTCCAATTCATACTTTTATTTCCTACACCTCTGTCCTAAATTCTTTTTCACATGCAGCTCAAGTGTACCAAAGGTAAAAATCTGAAGGAAAAGAATCCTTTCAGTAAGTATTTGTAGACTACATAAAAACAACCAATCTCATTTTCTAGATATGAAAACAATCCCAAAATAATAAATCATTGTGAAAAGATAGATTAAGAATTAACAGCTATTCCAAAGGCCTTCAGAAAAGATCCTGGCTAATTAATACCAGCTTGTGGAAAAGACTAAGAGGAATCACTTCAATTCTGCTAGGTGTTAAAACTATGCAGCAACTAAAAGATGGCTACCGCAAACTTTTTAAAACCACCACCTAAAGCTGCCTGTGTACTTTTCTAAATGTATTTATATGTAGGATTAAACATAAAAAGAAAAACATTTGCAACTGGTTACTAACCAGTTTACAAAGGTCACAGAAAATGCACACCTATAGAGAACATTTGTCATCAAAACCAATTCCTGCTGCCAAGCATACTTACTATTAGTATTTTATGTTTAAATACCCCACGCCGACTGGCTACTTACTTGCTTTTTGGTTCTAAAATGTAATTCAGAGTTCTATTCCTTATTTGACCAAAGCAAGCTCTTTTTACTTTAATGTTTTCAAACTTGTATTCTTTGCTTTTGAAAGAAGTGGTAAGGAAATTGTAAACTAGATAAAGGAAACGTACCTTTGGTTCTAAGAAGTACCCTTTGAAGTAGCGATACTGAATGGATACTCCTCTAGTAAGTACAATGGTTGCTTTCCATAATGTGCTGCAAAAGATTAAAAAGAGCATCAATGTTGAACTGAAATGTATAAAGACCCCATAACTCACAAAACCACTCACATAAGGTATACGGCCAACTCCATTCATTTCTTCCTGCACGGAACTGCATTTGAGGCCTACTCTGTGCAGGCCATGAGAACAAAGCAGTAAATACTGAAGGAAGTGGCCCACTTCCAAACTGCTTGCTTCCTTTGGACAGACATCAGAACTCTGGGGATGGAGGCCCAGGAGTCTGTATGTGACTGAACAACATTCTTTAAGTTTGAGAGTCACTCTCCTAACCACTGTCCAATCCCTAATTTAGTACACATAGTCCACTGACTACCTAGGAGTGCCAAACGTTTTTGTGGAATACCAGGTTGCCAACAGTGCTCCCTGCCTCTCACAACTGGACAAATTTTAGAGCACATCTTCACTCTGCTTCAATCCAGCTGTCACCTGGATGACTCTAACAACACACGTGCCCAGTGGTGATCTGGGAGATTCTGACCCCATGATCTGAGATGGTACCTATCATACAGGTCTGATACAACTTCACAGCCACAGGGCTGTATGGGATTGGCTGGGGAAATCAAGGAAACTTACATCTTTGAAATATATGTAAAGATGGGACTTCTGAATGCATATCTCCAACAAGTTCCTGCTGTTCTACTTTTCCCTGACTGACCTCAAAAATCGTTTAGCACAGGACTGTGGGCAAACACATCTCATCTGTTACCAAAAAGCAGAAAAGGCACTATCACATCCACAAAGAGTTGGAGAGAGTAGGTTAAAGTAGTCCCAGATGTGCAAGAAAAGTTAGTGGTAAATTCTGAGAACTTCCAAGGCGCCTCTCTCATCTACTATTTCTCAATCTCCAGGAGCAGAATCTGGGCACATGTGTTTTTGAAATGTTTTTAATGGGCTCCCCTTGTTAAGAAACACTAAGTAAAGAGATGAACAAAGCAATGAGTCTTTTTTAAACTTCACCTCTCTAAGAAAGACACACACTGTTAATTCTAGCATTTGGGAAGCCGAGGAAATAGGATTGTCACAGGAGTTTAAGACCAGCCAGAACTAGTGAGATCCTACCTTGAAAAACTGAAAAACAGGGCTGGGGAGATGGCTCAGTGGAATAAGTGCTTCCCTGGCAAGTGCAAGGGCCTGAGTTCAATCCCCAGTTCCGTCAAAAAAAACCCAAAAACTGAAAAACAAGAAAGAAAAGTGCACCAGATCAGAATTTAAGATTGATCATAATCTGATGAAATTCAAGAAAAAAAAAAAAAAAAACAGGAGAAAAGAGCCATGAGTACAGCTGCCTGATTCTGAATTGGCCTTCTATCCTCCAAAATGTCATAATATACAAAAACAAATAAAACCACAAGTGACCCACATCTTCAGCCTTGTTGCCTCATTAGGAAAAAAGTACAACCTTCTAATTATCTGTAAATAGAAGAAAATTCCAGCAGAGCTCTAGCTGCCACATGGTGCAGAGAGGTGGGAAGAAAAAAGATTAGAGAGGTTCTTTGAACAAAAGCAGTTAAAAAAACTTCAGAGGTACAGTGCACTAAAATCCCAAAGAAACACAAGAATGCAACCTAAAAAAGCAAGCACATATTCATATTCTCTCTCATTCTCTCACCCACCCCCCCGTGTGTGTGTGTGTGTGTGTGTGTGTATTAAGTACAGGGTTTTCAGCCTTCCAAGCACTAGGACCATGCCCAGTCTCAGTCCCTGTCTCAGTGTGTCCCAGGGCAGGGCCGGAATGGCACACCAGGGATCGAACCCTGGTCCCTGCACCTGCCTAGACAGGTGTTTTAGTCTACTGAGCTACCTGGCCAGTCCTTGTCTTTCCTTAAAACAAGGTCTTGCTATGCAGTTCAGATTGCCCTTGAGCTCACTTTGTAGCCCAGGTTGGTCTCAAACTCCTAACAATCCTCCTGCCTCAGCCTCATGAGTGTTGGGATTACAAGCATGAGCCACCACACCCAGCCAAACATATTCTCTTGTACTCATTTTATTGTTTTGTTTTTATACGGTTCTTGCTATGTAGTTCACAATGGCTCTGAACTCACTATTTAGCCTAGGCATCACCTCAAATTTACAGTAATGCTCCTGCCTCAGGCCCCCATTCCCCCACCAAGGGCTGGGACTGCCAGTGTATACCACCACACCCAGCCTTCTCTTGTACTCTTGAGCTGAACTTCTTTTCTCATGTGAAGCCTTATTTATCTGCCACTGAATCAACCCTATTTCAGAGCACATCAGCAATGTAGTCTTGGGTAGCACTAGCTTATAATGCCAGCTCCTCTGGAGGCTGAGACAGTAGGATCAAAAATGCAAAGCCAGCCAGGCAATGTAGTAAGACCCTCTCTCAACATAAAGAGAGCTCGGAGTATAGTTCTTATGGTAGAAACCCCAAGTTCTAGCCCCAGTACTATTTAAAAAGAGAGAGAGATGCAGCAGTAACAGGCACACACCTATAATCTGAACATTCTGGAAGGCTCAGATAAGAGGATCATGAATTTGGGCCCACTAGGCAACTTAAGAGACCCTTATTTCACATATAAAACAAAAGGGCCTGGGAGATAGCTCAGTGGAATAAGTATTTGCCTGGCAAGCTCATGATCCTCCTGTTGATCCCTGGTATAAAAAAAAAAAAAAAAAAAAAAACAGGTGAGGGGTGCTAAGAAATGCAAAGGTACTGGGTTCAACCCCTGGTACCATAAAAAAATAAGTGTAAGTGGCTGGTCCCCTAACACTTTAGCGATGTCCTATTCTTTCCACACCACTTTGACCAGGGAGGCTAAAAAGCTCAAATCAACTTAAGCAGAGGGACAAGTTCAGAAAGATATGAGGTTTCACTTCACAAAAGTCATGGCTATTCTAAAATTCAAGGAAAAAGTAATCCCTTGAATGGGATAAACACCTTACCCCTCTGTGAACCTAGTAAAAGCCTAGTGAAAAGTAGTACCATCACAAGTAGATCTCGGATAAACACGGCTACAGATACATGTCACACTGACGATGGCTGTCAAGTGGCTGCTCTGTGCCACTCCGTTTTCCTTTCCTTGCTCACTTGAGGCTGTGCCTCGCTATTCTTTGTTACCCTCCTCAGCATTGCCCCCAGTACTCCTCAACCCACATATGTGGCTGGCCAGTTTCTTCATTTATTTGACCCAACATGTCCAGCAACTAATTCTCATCTGCATACCTCAGAAATACACTGAGTCCACAACGACATGTACAGCTGTCACAGCAAAGCCGAACTGCTACAATCATCACTGTCTGCTGTTCTGTTTCTGTGTTTGCTATGTCAAGGACTGATAAAAAGTCTTTCATAAAAAAAAAGTCTTTCAGACTAGCATTAGTTCATATTTTTTAATATCCCTGCACTACAGGAAAATTAAATTTAAGCCTCCAGAATCTTAGCACCCATCTAAGACAGTGCACACTGTACATAACACTTGCAAATATCCACAGGTGGGCTAAGTACCAACTCTGCTGACATCGACAGATCCCATCCTAGCTGGTATGGTACATGATTAGTATGGGTGAAGTCCTGAGTCTGATCCCCAGAACCATTACCATATAAAAATTAAAAAACCAAGGGTGGGTACTAAGAAGTCAAAAGATGATGCTTTAGGAGAAAAACTTTACTAAAAAAAAAAAAAAATTAAATATTTTCCTAAGAATTTTAGTTGTAGTTGTATGAAACTATAAAAAGCAGCTGTGTTGGGGCCAGGGAGATGGCTCAGTGGAATAAGCACTTCCCTGGCAAGTGCAAGGGCCTGAGTTCGATCCCTGGTTCCGCCAAAAAAAAAAAAAAAAAAAAAAAAAGCAGCTGTGTTAGCTCAACACACCACAGACTGTTCCTTCAGTGAGATGCATGAGCCTCAATGGAGACAGTGTGGCTTAATCTTCCTTAATTATTTTAAAGATAATGCTTTAAATATGTAGGCAACATGAGCTTACTATTTAAAATACGATGGTAAGTACCAAAGGAACTAGCCAATCATTTTGTTTTAACTGTTTGGAAGGTGAAGACTAAGTAACAAAGGAACCTATTTCAACACTCAGTAACTTTTGTAAAAAATAAGAAGGTATAATGGCTGGGATGTGGCTGAGTGGCAGGGTGCACAGCTCACTCCCTGATACTCCCAGTTACACACACTAATGTACTTTACAGTTCCTAAGTTTCTAACATGACTGTCAGAATTACTCTGTCCCTGACACTCCCTTGCTTACCTGTCACCTGTCTCACTGTCCAGAAGAGCCACAGCATTTTGAGGATTCCAGTTTCCCAATGCATTACAGCTTCCACATATTGCAAAAACTTCTCCTAAAGAAACAGAAAAGCATATATAATTCTTTATGCCTATTTTCAAAATTTTAATTTTTTAATGTTTTTTCATCATATTCTGTAGGGACTTAAAGTTCAACATATCAATACTTGATGAAAAATATCTGTTCCATGTTATGCCTAAGATGTTTGATATTCAGACAGATAGTGAGGTTAAGCTTAACAGCCTAGGTTGTATGGTAATAACAATAAGCTTCTCTTCTGGATGGTTAACAACCTAAGTTTGCAGACCAAAATTAGAGAAAAAGGAGGGCCACAAGGAAAGCCAACATTTTGGCCCTAGCCTTCCAAGGTCAATTAAGACTCAGGACATATGAGAACTTGTACTGTAATGTCATGTAACTCAGTAGTGTCCCAAATTTTCTGATCAAGGAGATTATGGGGCCAAAGAGGAAAGTGATTGATGATGTAGAGTGTGCCTGAGGAGAGTCACATGGAGAGAAAACATTCTCTCAGGCTTTCACAGAGAGCACACTGGCAAAGCAATGGCCATGACTTATCCACAGGGTGACACTGACAAAGGATCTACAATCTGAGGTATAGGATCTCAGGATAAATCCTGAGGGGATTTCACTGACCTTATCAGATCCAAAAGCTACAACTCTTGTTGCATAGGTCTTGCTTTATCTTGGTCTTAACCATCCAGCAGAAAAGTATAAAAATGAAGTATAAGAAGTAAAGCCATGCTGTTATGTTGAGCTGTATGGGACTCTTGTCAACAATTTTTGACACTGCCAGTCAAGTGGAAGACCTAATACTATTATGGGCTACTGGACTCTTAGAATATTTTGCTGAGTTAACACACCTATAATATTCAAATGACAGAACTAAACAAAAAAGGGGATACAGATGAATGTCCATTTTGTATCTGTGTATTCAAAACAATTAGGATAGATACATAGTTACATTCTCTTAATGAATAGAGGGATTTGTTCTAATAGAGTTTGTAAATAGGATATCATGTCCGCATCTTGTACAGCAAATAACCACTAGGAAGAGAGTATGCAATGTGTTAATTATTGAAACTGTCATACCAATTTGATTTGAAACTGTCTCGTTGCTATTTGTTTCTCAATAAAATTATGGAAAAAAAACAGTTAAGTATTTTCCTAAGTAGGAGTTTTAGTTTTAGTTTTAGTTTTAGTTTTAGTTTTAGTTTTATAAAACAATAAAAAGCAGCTGTGCTGGCTCAATGCAACACAGAATGTTCCTTTGATGAGATGCACAAGCCTCAATGGAGACAGTGTGGAACACAGGGACCGCACTAGCACCTCCATTAAGCCCCAGGTTCTACCACCAAGAGAGCTCCAATTTAGGCAAAAGCTAAATTCTGAGTGGTAGTCTAGAAAAATATTAACCAGTATTTTCCAACAATTCAAACAATGGCTATTAAAAAGCTAAAGATCAAAAAATATGATCAAACCTGGGCATGGTGGTAAACTCTGCAATCCCATGATTCTGGGAGGCTGAAGCAGGAGTGAACGTTTGAGTCCACCCAACCCAACTTAGTAGACACTCTCTCAAAATAAAAATAAAATACAGTCTGAGTATGGCTCAGTGAGAAGAACCTGGATTGAATCCCTCGTACTGCAATAAATAAAACAGCAGCAATATAATTAAAAACTCCTCAAGACAGACTGATGTAGTTAAAAATCCAGTACTCCTTACTAAAATAATGAGTATAGTTTCATCTGAACTTTTTTTTTTTTTTTTTTGTAGTACTGGGGATTGAACTCAAGACCTTATGCTTGCTAGGCAAGCGCTTATTCTACTGAGCTATCTTCCCGGCCCTAAATGGTTTTTTGTTGTTGTTGTTTGGTTTTTTTGTTTTGTTTTGCAGTACCAGGGACTGAACTCAGGACCCTGCACTTGCCAGGCAGGCACTTATTCTACTGAGCTATCTCCCTGGCCCTGTGTCTTACCAATAGACTTTAAAAGCCAACATATAGCTACTACCTATAATTACCAAATTTTGTATAGCAAAAGCCCACAACTTTTTGGATATAAGTACGAAGAAGTTTTTGCTATGTATCAACACATTCTGAATATAACTAAAATTCATTAAAAAAAAAAAAAAAAACTGACACATGCCTGTAATCCCAGCACTCAGGAGGCTGAGGCAGAAGATCATTTCAAGTTCAAGACCAGTCTGGGGGTGCTGGCCCTAGCTCAGTTCTTTAAGTG